CTGCTCGCTGGGTTGAATGGATTGGGAATTGAACAGGATTTCCTCAGGGTCCCCCTAGATATAAATTAAATTCAAATCCCAAAAGTTATGGTTATAATTGGGGCGGAATTTGGATCAGCAGTAGCCTCTGCCATACCTCTGCCAGGAGTGCACAGAAATATTAAAAAATTAAAAAACCTGGAAAGCCTGACACGTGGTGATAAGGAAATCAGTGCACCTGAGATAGGGTTTGATATATCCTCTCCCCTGTGCCTTCGGTAACGCTCTGGAGTGCACCCAGCCTAGCACCACCATTGTACGAACCATTGATTTTGGAGTGCATAGGCCCCATATCTAATTTTTTCCCTATTAGGTTAAGGAAGTGCAGGATAGGCTGGGTGCTCTCGGTAACGCTCCGGAGTGCACAGGGGAAAGGATATATCAAACCCTATCTCAGGTGCACTGATTTCCTTATCACCACCTGTCGGACTTTCCAGGTTTTTTAATTTTTTAATATTTCTGTGCACTCCTGGCAGAGGTATGGCAGAGGCTACTGCTGATCCAAATTCCGCCCCAATTATAACCATAACTTTTGGGATTTGAATTTAATTTATATCTAGGGGTACCCTGAGGAAATCCTGTTCAATTCCCAATCCATTCAACCCAGCGAGCAGGCCCAAAAGAGCAGGCAATGATGTGTGGAATCCCATGGGCTCACCCGTGGTGTGATACTTGGAATATATTATTATTGGAATAGTTGAATTGAAGAGCTGTTTAACCCATGGTATATTCAAATTACACTGTATGATTATGGGCTGTCCAAAATGGGGTTATGCTGACTGGAGGCCCATTGGCGGAAGTAAAAAAAACAATGGTTTTTCTGGTAAAAGAAAATTCCAAAGTATCCAAACACTGTGATTATAGTATTTTGGTGATTAGGGATTCCATGGGTGCCAGGTAAGATGGTGATGGTGATGGTGATGGTGATGGTGATGGTGATGGTGGTGATGATGATGATAATGATGCTGATGCTGATGCTGATGGCGATGCTGATGCTGATGGCGATGGTGATGATGATCTTGATGTTGATGTTGATGATGTTGATGATGATGTTGATGATGGTGACGATGGTGGTGATGATGATAAGGAGGAGGATGATCGCTGCAACTACTGAGGCCCAGGCGGTGCTTGCAGTCGAGGTTCATACTATTTCTCATACTTATTATCTAATTATAATGTAATAGGTTTTTCAGAACAGGGGACCACCAGCGTGCGCAAATTTGCATTATTTTGCAACAATGTTCCTCCAATCGCCTAGAAAAGCAATGATTTATCTGCTGCATGTCTGTTGGCCTATGCCAATTTGCTGCAATCTGCTGCAAAAGGGGAAACCAAAAAAACAAAAAAACAAAAAACAAGAAACAAAAAAAAAACTCTTGAAAGTAACAGAGATTGGGTTCCTTGGGGTTAGGTTTTTTTTTTTAGTTTCTTGGTTTCTTGTTTTCTGGTTCGTCGTTGGTTTTTTGAAGGGCTGGCAAAACAACACAAAAGTGAAGGACCTAGACCTCACTGTTTGCCAGTTCTCCCATTTTAGGGGTTGCAAACTTGCTTTTGCTTGATTTTGTTGGTTGCTTTGGGCCTGTGATCCCTTAGAAAACCATGTAAAAATCCATGGCAAAATGCAGGTATCACTGGAGGAAGCTCGGGGGCTTGGGACACAGATTAGGTAATTTTGTTTGTTTATGCAATTTCTCACAAATTGTGTTGAACAATGAAAAAAAACATAGGCAGCCAATGAATGTGTAGAACTGATTTTGAGATTGGCATTGTTGGCTCCACCCCTTGAGTAACACATGTTCAAACACTTTGAGGATTTCCTTGAAAAGGAGTGATGCATCTCTTTGAAGTGATTGCTCCCTTCAACAAATGCATTTCTTTTAAAATGGTAGGACATCCCATTGAAGTAGGTCATGTTTTAGTCTACTTCTATGTCAAAAATGAACCCTCTTGCACATGCAATGCCCTTTTCACAATATATTTTCTTAAATCAAGAACACATGGTACATATAAACACGTCAAATATGTCCTTTACAATTGCACATCATGTTTTCTGAATGCATAATGTGATATTCCTCCGACAACGAACCATATTTTGGGAATAATACCCTTTGGTGTAGGCAGCTCTCCTCTTGAAAAATATTGTAATTTGAGGAATGTGCACCTTTAAATCTTAAGACAACCAAACACTATTTGAACATATGGTATACTGTATGCATGTGGCACTCTTTTGAAAGAGTATGGTCGTCCTTGAAGAATCTGTTGTTGAATTTGTGCAACACCCCCTTGATATGAATGAGATATTTGATTAAACGAAAACATTATTGTTGGATTGTATTGAAAACATTTCTTTAAGTGAGAGTTGTCTAAATGAAGGCTGGGCTCATCTGATCAAGGGGAAGAGTAAACATGTCAAACTCTCCTCCTGAAAAATATTGTAATTTGAGGAATGTGCACCTTTAAATCTTAAGACAACGAAACACTATTTGAACATAGGGTATACTGTATGCATGTGGCACTCTTTTGAAAGAGTATGGTCGTCCTTGAAGAATCTGTTGTTGAATTTGTGCAACACCCCCTTGATATGAATGAGATATTTGATTAAACGAAAACATTATTGTTGGATTGTGTTGAAAACATTTCTTTAAGTGAGAGTTGTCTAAATGAAGGCTGGGCTCATCTGATCAAGGGGAGGAGTAAACATGTCAAACAAAAGTAATCCAATTTTCCAAGAATGGTGCTTCTCCACAGGAAGTTTTTTTTGCCATACAAGGACAATATTCTGTTGTTCAGTGGTGGGAAGCGAAAGAGCATTCTTTAATAGTGCTCACAGTTCAAACATGTTGCACTTTTGAAAGGGATGCTCTATGTCAACAATACTGCATATATTGTAGAAATATTGACTTTCCTAAAAGGGGTACTGCTCCTTTGAAAGGAGAGTTAGACATCCGGAAATGCACATTGCACTCCTTCTCAAAGGGCATGGTGCAATTTTTCAAGGAAGACTTCATATTTTGTTTCGATATTGCTCCTGCAAAAACACACAGCTGAACAGTAACTTTATCTCGGTAATCTCTTTTCACCAGGGTTTTTCTCTATGCAGCTATGTCACCAATTATGTATTGTGTTGCTTGCACATGTGAAGAACTAGTTTTGTTTTTTCTTCAACCATCTTTAATACATTGTTTTAGTCATACATTTGATGGACATCTCGTCTGTATGAGGGTTTTGACTTAGAGGCATGTGTCAACTGACACTTAGATGAAGATACTCACCATCTTGCAATGTCTAAAAAAGCGCACGCTCACAGTCCCCAGCTCTCTTGTTTTTTGAGTGAACCCACACTTGGTTGTGTTCGTCAATTTATTAATGAATTTGCCACGACATTAATTAATTTACCCTAATGGGCTATGTAAAGAAAATGAACAGTGCATTTTCCTGATATTAAAAGGTCATTGTTATAACTATAGCCTGCAATATAGCCCTATGGAAGTGCTAAGGGAAAATGAACCGTTTATTTTCTCATTCATAAAATCATCTTGAGTAAACCCGTTAGGACCTCTGATCTTATTTTTATGAATTCAAAATATCCTCATGCCAAGATATTACATAAGATATTTTTCAATCCAGATAAACCATCATGATAAAGAGTACCGATGATATTACATAACGATAATAAGTTACCGAAGTTCGGTAATACGAATAATGAGCATAAATTATTGGAATCACGTTGAATCAATGGCGGTTGTGGATGGAACCCAATGAATATTCTGAAGAAACATGTTGTCATTTTTTGACTTCCTTAACCTTAGGCCAGAACTAATCCTAAATAAACCCTAAACCCAACCCTAAATAGATTTTAAACCAACCCAAAATATATGTTGATCCAAGCATAAATAAACCTCACACCAGCTCTAAATAGATCTTATACCAGGCCTACATAAATCCTAAACCAACGCTGGACAAACCTTAAACCAATCCTGAATAGGTCCTACACCAACTCTAGACAGATCCTAGATCCAAAACCAAGCCTACATAAACCCTAAAACCAATCCTGAATAGATCCTAAACCAACCCCAAATAGATACGTATTAATATGATTTTGAACCAAGCCTAAATAAACCTTGAACCAACCCTGAATAGATCTTAACCAAGCCCAATACTCGCTAAAACCAACCCTAATCCTAAACCAACCCTAAATAGATTTTAAACCAAGCCTAAATAAACCCTAAAACCAACGCTAAATGAACCCACTAAATAAATACTGTAGTTCAACCAAGCCTAAATAAATCCTAAAACCAACCCTAACAGAGACCCTAAACCAACCCTAAAACCAGCCCTAAATAAATCCGGAGGCCTATTTGCAGACTACCATGTTCCATGAACAGTTCGAGCACCAAAATGTTGCACATTCTATGGAAAATGAAAGGTTCTCACTCAAAAATGCTGCAAATACCGTTGACATGGCAGCTTCCAGCTCCAAAATGCTGCAAATAGCATCAACATGTTGCAAATTCATGCAAAATTAGAGGATATTAGAGGTTCGAACTCAAAAAAAATAGTTGAAAGGGCACCTTCCTGCTCCAAAATGCTGCAAATAACAAGGAAAATGGACAGAATAGGAAATCCTAAAATGGGGGGAAAAAAAATCCGGACCCCTTATTTTTCCCCATTTAAACCGCCTTTCGGGGTTTATTATTCCCGGGTTGACAGCAAAATATCTAGTCGATAGTTGGATGCGGATTTTCAATCAAGTCACAATTTTTATTTGTCCTGTTCAAAAAAGATTTATGAACCACTTGGGGGTTCCAGCAAAATTAGGACATGTTTTTTGCGAATAGCTGGTTGGCTTCATGAACAAATGAAAAATCCCCAAGAAAAATGGATGATGACTGAGGGTTCCTAAGTCATGGGGGTATCTCCAGTCATCCATTGATGGATTTTCCTGGAATTCACTCATCCAGGCAGCGCCCTGGTACGTCAGGCGGCCGGGCCAATGGATAAGAACTCTGCGATGAATATATAGACTTCATGGGATTTAACGGGTTTGAATGGGATTTAGTGAAGTTTTTCATGGGTCTGTTTATTGGAACTGCATGGGGTTTAGGTTTAGTATTTTTAGACTTCATGGGACTTAGCCAATCAAGTTGACTAGAGTATTCATGGGTTGTAGAAACAAACATAATGGGGGGAGCCCGCCTTGTGCACAATATCATGGCTGAGTAGATCTGAGTAGTGAACAGAATCAGACCTTTGGTTCTACAGAAACATCCTTTGAGCAGTGTTTAAAACCCCTGCTGGTTGATTATTATACACGGTTTTACTACGTATACTAGTATATACCCCATAGATCCCCATAGGATCCATGTATGGTATATATGCTAACATTGGGGGTATATTGATGGCAAATGTTACCATATATAGCATACATGGATCCTATGGGTGCTATATCCAATATATTAGATTATTAGAGATGATCACAATCCATGAAATGGGAAATCCGTTCCTACCCAGCGAAACAAAGACGAGTTTAACGGGTTTTGAACGCCCTGCCAGGTCGTTTGTCCCTGGGGATCGGCTCGAGACTGTCACCCAAACGGGGTCAGCAGGCAGAGATTTCTGGATTGGGAGAGGCCCAGTCTGGGAATCGAGGATTCCTGTAGACCATGTTCATTTTTCACAGCCAAATCATATCCAAATCATCATAAATCATCATAAATCATCATAAATCATCATAAATCATCATAAATCATCATAAATCATCATAAATCATCATAAATAATCATAAATCATCATAAATCATCGAACCATTTTCCATAGCAAGCTGTTCAATAACCTGAGGGTATGTGAAAGCTTCTTGAGAAAAGAGCCTCAACTACTCACTGCACCAGGCATCCACATCCTCCACATCCAAAAGCAGCGGGTCCCTATCTCAGGAAGACCTTCATCGACCTTGAAACATGGATAAACTCTGGTGAAGAGAAGGTATAATATGGGTTTGTCTGAAACTATAGGGTACCCCTCAATCCATTGGATTATCATCATTGTCCTACTAAAATAAACTATTTAGGAGTATACCCTATTTTCCAGTCACATGGTTTGCTGGAAACTCCCTCAGATGAAATTCATATGGCCATATGGTAGATAGATATTATAGATGATCCTTCCAGCTATAGGCCTTCATTTACCTCGTGGATTTCCCATTGCTATGTTCGACAAAAACTGGAGAGTGAGAGGGATGGATATCCATGGATATCACAGATGAGATATCATCTAAATAGAGTATGGCACAAATACCTGGTTTTTTAAGCAACGCCTCTTTTTGTTTTGTTTCCCACGAAAGCCAGGGTAGATGTATCCTACACAGAGGGACCCCCAGCTCTGTTTGTTTCAACCTGTCTAGCTATAGAATATAATAAATATTTACCATAAATACATTTAAATACATCCTGGTTTGCGTAGGTACAAACCAACTTACCTCGGGTGAATCAGATATTGATATTGACTATATAATGATAATAATAATAATGATAATAATAGTAATTCTAATACTACTAATAATAATACTAATAATAATAAAATAATAATTATTATTATATATATATATTATCGTTGATATACTAAAATTTTCATTGGATAAATACTTTATTAAATCCCTAATTTTTGGTTGCTAAATTCCTGATTATGCCAAAATACGATATGTCATACCGCGTAACGGCGCAACTACACCCGATCGGCGTAAACGGCGTAACAGCGTAACGCGCAGCGTAAACGGCGTAACAGCGTATTGGCGTATTTACGCTTACAGACCCCAATCCCACACTGTGGATACTTTTTGTTTATCCCACATCCACATGATTCAACCATTAATTTTATACTTATACATACTCCCATAATATCTTGATGAATTAATTTATTCTTAATCGCTGTATGGTATGTTCAATGGTTTTTCACTGACTGCAGCCTATTCCCATGAGATTCCCATTGTATTTGCAGAATGTCAGCGCCTCAGGTCACTGCCGCTTGATTTGCTGGAAGCCTCCAGTGCTTTCTTGTCGGGATGCTAACGTTGCTGTGGAGCTTGGTGGAGCTTGGTGTCCATTGTAGCGTTGGATCGTCAGATGAAACCTGTGGGTTGAAGGAATTACTGTACATGGAAAAAAACATGATTTGGCTGAAGAAAACTTATGACTTATGAAACATGTGGGTATGACATGGCATATGCATGAAAGATGTGGCTTTGATGATTTGTTTTCCTTGTGTTCGTGATTTGGGCTCCAGTGATGCAAGTAGTCAGCTGAGGCGACATTCTGAAGAGCTGGCCCGAATCAGGCATGAGAGAACAGCGTTGGTTGCATCATCAAAGATCACAGAACTTAGATGAACTTAGTTCAAATAAATATATGAAACTATATGAAAATAGATGATGAAATTATAGATCATGATCTGTTTATCATCATCTTTGGTCTTTGGATCTAGTTATTGTTTGGATCTAACTGTTGGATCATGTTTGGATCTAATAATAGATTTCCACATTTCCACGAGGTCTCGTACTGAATCATTCGTAATCTTTCCCTTGGTGTAAAGGTCGTTATAGATAGGAGAGATTGCACATCACAGAAATCTGTGAAATATGCAGCCCTGAATCTGAATTCCTGCATTTTTGTCGCACACAGAAAGCCAAAAAAAAAGCGCTTTCCTTGACCTTCCCTAATCTTCCCTGTGAAGCCGCCAAAGTCTTCAGAGGATTTTTGGAATCCAGGTCCAATCCGAAGCCATGATCGGATATGATCGGCTCTCAACGGAACCGAATTATGCCAAAGTTCAATCATTTTGAGCTATGTATTATATAAATATATTATATATTTATATATATTACATTATATATTATATATTATATATTATATATACACTATATAAACTATATAGATATATAATCTCTTTATATATATATATATTATAACATGTTTTTCATCGGCCCTTGAGATGATCTCGCGGCGTTCTTGCTCAAATTCCAAACAAAACACTTATGTACCCATAGGATCCATGTATGGTATATATGCTAACATTTGGGGCATATTGATGGTAAACGTTACCATATATAGCGTACATGGATCCTATGGGATATGTATATATATATAGATGTATATATATATATATATATATACATATTATATCTAAGAGGCAAGCAGCTGAAGAGGGAAGGCTGAGACATGCAGGTCACAGCAAAGCGAAGATGATGGAAGCAATCCAATGCGCTGAGCTCATCTAAGCGATGAGACGCACGAATCCTCGACATGCTATGAAACCAGAGCTGATTGAAAATCCAAGGAATCAAAGTAGAGAGATTGCGTGCGCCAAGAACTGGAATCTAATGATCCTGGAATTTGAGAAAGGCATAAATTGAAGGGAACCCTATCTTATTTGCTGGCAAAACCAAGCCTTGAATCATTACATTGAACTTAGATTTCTCGGGGGTGGCAGGAAAAAAAAACATTTGCACCATGCCGAGGCTTACATTGGGACAGTCGATCTACACTCAGCAGGCGGTAGCCTGTTGTGCCACGGATTGAGGATTTCAGCTCGGAACTGGGGTAAAACAAGCCTATCTTCAGATAAAGCTTTATTCGTCAAGTGTGGCAATTGCACACGATGACAATGATTCTGGGTAAATTTCATCACGACCTCACTGTTCTCCCTCACTGGAATCATGGTTAGTAAGGGGAATCATCCCAAAATGGCCTTAATTCAGGGTAGTGAAATATTCTATATAATTTACCCAGAATGATTGACGTCATGACATACTTCAACTGCTTGGATTTCTTTCAGATATCTGGGATGATGATCCCCAAATGCCCCATGTTTTGAAATACTGGGGGGTTATAACGGTTAAACCACCAAGGCATTCAGCATAGCCATCCAATGTTATCTGATCAAAATGTGGGTCCAATTAAACATCAATCACTTTCCTCGTGTTTTCCCCGAAATTGACCGCGGAACGTATAGTTTCGTAAGGTTTGGAAGAGAATTCTCCGCTAGTCATCATGGCTATTTTGGGGTCCATGTTTTTAAGGCCCAGCTGTAAGAAATCTTCCAGGCGATTGAAAGCATGGAGCTGGAAGTTGCCAAAGCCGTGCAAGACGCAGAAGCACGAGGCCTGGGTCCTGGCACTCCAAAATCTCATGGTTTTGAGATCCGCCACCAGCGGTTGGTGGGGTGGGACACCTATGATGAACGAATGGCCGGTAGAATGATACAACAGAAACTATGTCCGTATCACAATGAGTTGTAGACGTCATCACAGTTAGAAGTTATCATAAACTTCGAAATGTCCGTGACTAGTAGAAACTCTCACAATCACGGATCATCACTGATAAAAGTCTCACCACGATGTCAGAAGCTGTGTGTTTCTTTATATACGTAATTTCAACTGGTACAGTAAGATCTGATGTGAGGTGGATGAACCAGTATATTGATGATTATCATGATTCGTAGGATCAAGATCATGTAGAGGTAGAGTATCGTGTCATGGATTCAATCAACTGCCACTCAGACAGAGAAACTTCATACCTATCTGGAGCCATCTGACACCCACTGTCAGTGATACCTGTGCTTTCTGTTGTTCAAGTGTACACTTGAACGGGTTCCATGCACATCTCTTGATCACATCCACTTGAACCTAGAGGTATACTGCCAGAGTCTACCCTTTCCTCCTGAAGCTAGGTTTCTGGATTTTGGTCTATTTCCGAGAGTCCCAATGCCTGGAAAGTACCAGATCATCAATTGAGGGGTTGACGAAAGAATTGCTGGGGACCTAAACAAAGCGACTGGATCGACTGGCTAATCATCATGTTTCCAATAACGGCCACGATTTGGTATTTTAATGTATTTGATGCTCCCATCTGCAGATACATCCATATCCAGTGTACTGCAGATACATCCATATCCAGTGTATTTTGAACCTCACATTTTGGTGAAATCCTGTTTCATGGTTGATATGCCAGGAATTGAAAGCCAAATTTCCCGTAAGTTTTTCACGCTCTTATGCCCCCAGCCATTTTTCAAGCTTTCGAAGGTGACAGTGAGGCACGGACACCGGGCATGGATTGTGGCCGGAACTGCTGCAAGACTTGTACAATTATTGGATTTAGCACCTGGATTGTTTCTTTTTTCCCATTGCTTAATCCACCATTAGGGGAATCTACTTATGGAATATGTGTAGTGATTAATATGATGATATGTTTGTATGGTTTCCTTGAGCAGATCCGGCATCACAAGAAAAAATGGCTAAGACATGGGACATCGGCGTATCACCATGCTTAGCCATGTGTTAAAACACCCCAACTGCACCACCAAACATGTCATGGCCACAGATCCTCCGCAGCTCTAACTGCTCCCGGCCCGGGACAGCGAGCGAATCGCGCCGTTTTCTCGCCGCGCCGATGGCGAAGCAAAAGCAGCTTCTACTCCCCGAGGCGATGGGAACTACCTACCATAAAGTCTATGTAAGGCCTAAGGGAATACAGCTCAACAAACAATATGGCTCTGTAATGCTCAAAAAAATGGTACGGTATCTGGACGGTATCTCCAGTTTTGAGTCATGTCATTGATGCAATATTGTATTTATACTAATAGCGACAGTGTTCTTCATTGTCTTTGAATGGTTTTATATTCTGAATTATGGTTTTATATAGTTTTATTATGTTATTATTGTTGTGAATGTGGTAAACGCAGTGTCATAATCACCATCCCCTATAGAGGTTTATGAAGTTGGGTATGCCCCTATGGCTGAGATGATGTAAAATGAGCCGCAAATGGTTGGTTGATCGGAGGGTTGATCAATTATTGGGTTTACCACTTATAAAACATTTGTAAGATTATGTAACAAATTGTAACAATACTTAAGAATATCTATCACTTTATATGCACAGAAAAGAGTTGGTTTCTGTCCAGACCTTCATCGTTCAGCAGATGGCCCTTTGGATGTTCGAACTCTGTCCGAAAGTAGGGGATACTTGCAGACTGCAGATACTTTTCGTAAGGGAATCATGTGTTTTCAATGGGAATTTCAGGATATTGGAGGTACACCTACCATATATAAGGCCTATGTAAGGCCTATGTAAGGGAATATCCCCATAAAATATGGCCTTATATGGTACAGTACCTCCAATTTAGGATCCTGAAATGGCCATTGATGTTTTTCACATCTATTACTAGTCTGCCAGTTTACCTTAGCGTAATCCTGAGGAATACTGTATAGGTTGCACCATTTTTGGGCAAACAGATATGGCTTTCTGGCTTGTACGGATGAACGGATGACATGTGGTTCGCAAACATCACAATGAACAATCCGGATATTCTGTAGATGAATGCCGTTTTCTAACTAGTGTCGCATTGCGCGGATTCATTTGGAGTGTCCATATTGTGTGTGTTTCACTCAGTAGTCTCTCCAGTATATCCAGGGTGGTTGACACATATTAGAATCCTTAGTAGTAAAGCTATTGGAAGGTATATACCCGGATGGCATGGTTTGTTGATCCCTTCCCCTTAAACATGCCAGACACAATGGTGGATGTAGGAGATTCGCACATATTTTGGACCATTTTCTGGTTGGGTGTTTAATATTGGGGGGATGGGAGTAATAAAGATATCCTCTGGTCAACTAACATAAGGAAATATATGGAAATCACCTTTTTTAATGGGAAAATCAACTATTTCTATGGCTATTTTCAATAGCTATTTTGACATAACCAGAGGGTAACCAACATCTAACCGGTCTTTGGTTCGGCGGGTTGACATCGTTAGACGCGCCAGATGGGCCATATGGATGAGGGGCCGCAGCTACCTACGCTGCTCACGCCCAGTGACTCGGAGCTACGTGGGCCACCCAGCTATGTTTGTTGGTTTATAGCCCCCCCCTTAACATCCCTTAACATCCCTTAACTATGTATGTATATATATATATTTACATATATATATATGTATATATATATATGTGTATGTATATAAGTAAGCTATGGTAAACGGGGGCCTCATCCTGTAAACCCACCGATAAAACATGTGGCACTGATCACAGCCCCAAGCTGATTTTGTTCTCCAAAAATCGATTGAAGCGTGTGATCCCATATCTTTCCATACTTCACATCGAAATTGCCATTGACATGTCGATTTACAACCATTTGCTGCGTACATGCCATCAAAATTCCTTAAGCTCCTTCAACATCCATGTATAACATTGTATTAAAGAAACCATGAAACAAAACATTCCATGGATTTTCTCCCCAATTTTTCTCCACTTGTTTTCAGCCGTGGCCTGGTTGCCACCGCCGAGGAAAACGCCAGCAGCTGCTCGAAAAGGAGGCAGCTGCGAAGCCGGTGGAAGGCGACCGCAAGACCAAACTGCAGGACGCCCTGCAGGGATTGGAGCAGTGACCAAAAAGCCTGTCTGTTAGTTAGTGATTCTGGTTGGTGGTTTCAAACATTTTTTATTTTCCATTATATATGGGATAATAATCCTTCCCATTGATTAATATTTTTCAGAGGGGTAGGTCAACCACCAACCAGTGATTAGTTTGGGGACTATACTACCCAATATCTTGGGGATTAAAAAAGAATCCAAACCTGTTAGTTACCCTCTGGTAAACTAAGATAGCTATGGAAAATGGATGAACATTGGTGATTTATAATTGGTTTACCGGTTCACCTAACATGGTGATTTCCATTGTTAATGATGTTAGTTTACTGGTACCAGAGGTTATGATTAATTTGTGGATGATACTGCCCAATGTATTGGGGGCTTTAACAGTCGAAGAACGGGAAATCCCGTTCTTAACCAGTATAATGGAATGAGAGATGGATTTTGAACACTGCTCATTTGTCGCTGGATTTGAGGGGAATGTCATGGGGGGTTGATGGGAAGTTCATTGGATTTAAGGATGTTTGATTGGATTTGAGGGGAACGCAATGGGAACCGAAAGGGATTTGATTGGATTTCAAGCGACGTCATGGGAATTTCATAGACATTTACATCATAGCCATGGTGTTTGATTGGATTGTCTTACTGGTGCTTAGTAATCTTAGTAGGGAATGAGGGAATGATCCATAACCACTAGTAATAATAATCCCATTCCCCCATTCCCATCCATTCCCTACTAAGCACCAGTAAGTTGTTGATCGGACTGATTGATATTTTATGGGTACCATGGAGAAGATGGATTTCACATGTAGCGTCCTGACGCCTCCATGGGAATTATCCATGAATATCCCTTCCCCCTTAATATTAAACAGCCCAGAAACCATGGTGGATGTAGGAAATTCACAGATATTTGGGACCATTTAGATTTAGGTAGGACTTCTTTAATACTAGGGGAATGGGATTATCCAAAACTGTTGGTTGAAGACAATTGGGGATCATTTTTGGAGTACTTTTGAAAAGATTGGAGTAAGTGTATGCTTCGAGCACAATACTGGTGACTGCATAATCTCAATTAGACGAAAATTGATTGAGCTAATTTAAGATTCTTTCGAAGTGAGAATTCCAATCATCTCAAGCTGCATAATCTTAATTCCAATTTTGGAATCATTGTCTTTTTGACGACGGGAAAAGCAAGCTGCTGCTCTGGAGCCATCCAATTGCTTGGTCCTGAAAATGTCGGTTCGCAGCTGGGCACACTTGTTGCAATGGTCACTTGTTGGAATCCAGGCCAACAGCCATGTTGGAACTATATAGATTTTGCATTATATGCAAAAACCCTCAAAAACCCCTTCCAGCCAAAGCTAAGCGGAAAAATCAGCGAAGTGCCAATACTATCTTGTTGATCAAAACTTGGAATCTCACCACATTCAAGTTTTGCTTGGAACCGTATTTTTAATTGGACCCGCCACCACAAGTGTCCAGTCTTCCCTGGTGAGTGGGTCTCGCAATCTGGAGCCCTGAAGGATCTTGGAAATAGTTTCTGGGTCCCCGCTGTGAAATTGACTGCATCTTTAACCACCGGTGTCCTACCGTATCATTTTTTTTGCTTACTCCAATGGGGAAAAAAAGAAAAATGTGTATGCCATTCCGTCCTTAGCACTTGTGTATCTACCCTAAGAGGATGCGTCCGTGCATTCGACAGTCCCCGGGTGTGTCTCGTCGTCACCCCTGAATTTGGTGTTATTTGCTTGGTTTGTCGTTCAATTCATGATCACAATCATTGGGGATTTCTCTATCGCTGTCACACAGCACTAAAGTCAAAGGCGGACATGTATCTAATTTTTTGGATGAATTCAATGGGTTGAAAGTTGGGGCATCTAAGAAAGATAACTTTTTGGTTGGTTCACTTGGGGTTATGATAAGGCATGATAAGGCTTATCATGATCTACTCATGGAAATCCCCAGCAACCAATTAGAAGGGATGACAGATGGTGAACTGGGCTCTGCTCATTTCGCACATTTTGGAGGAACGGTCCAAGCAATCACTGGGGTGATGTAAAGGGAAATAATATGCATATATATATATTCATGTTATTATTATTATTATCATTATTATGATTATTATTATTATTATTTATTATTATTGCTATTATGATTATTATTTTTATATTATTATTATATTATTATTACTATTAATATAATATATATATACATATTTGTTCAGGCAAAAAGTCTTGTAAAAACAATTCCGAAGACCCAACATGAGCCACTATTTTCCACGATGTTCCCTTGCTTTTCCAACATGTTCCTTAATTTGCCCAATGATGTTTCAATAACGTTCCCACTTAAACCACTTCAAAGGCCCACCCTTTTGCTCCTTTGCAGGAGCGGCGTCCCGGCTTCCGAGCAGAACCTCTGACCCTCCAACCGGGGTTGAAATTCTACTCGCCTCCTGTAACCCGGCTGTTGGAAGGCGGAGCTCCAACATGTACCTTTATTCTAATCTTAATGAGCTTCTTGTAGAAAAGCAATGGGTTAAATATACTTCAATCATCTTACTTATTAAGTTATCGTTTCTTCTGGAGGTCTCTAAAATTGATCATGTTGATTGGGGACAAATGATGGTTGATTGCTGATTGTTAAATATATTTACTTCTTTTTGTGGACATTTCTCATGTTTCCAAGATTTTTATCATGTTTCCTGGGGACAGATTAAGATGATTGTAGATGATTGAAAGGTGAAGGGGGATGACCACCAAACTCTACATCTGCCGTCAGGGTCAGGCATTGGTGTTGAAATGTGCTGCTGCTGCTGCTGCTGCTGGCTCATGACTTTCTGAGAAAAGTCCCATTTTTTCTTAGTCCGACTGCTATAGATAGCCGTTGCCCCTGTTGTCATGTCAGTTCACGGCAACTTCACTATGGAAGAAATTGTGATCAGTTTCGTATGGACTTTTTTGCCTCCAGCGGAGGTTTTCAGCACTCAGACCTGTCATCGTTGGATCATCTAATCATCCTCAGTCATCGTGGCTGGTCATCGCGAGTAGTACTGCAGTTTCTGAGTCATTTTCTATTCGAATGACCCCTTGACTCGATTGACTCCATCCCCTGGGTATGGGTTAACTGGTGATTTAATAAATTTGTTACAAAACATGACCAATTTTCTTGTGCCATTGCGATAAAATCCATACTTTTGGTGGTGCCCAACAGTCCGCTAACTTGGTTTAAAACTAGATTAGCTAGGGCTTACGGTATGTATGTATGATATATATATATATATGCATATTCTACATGGCATACATATCTCATCATATCTATATGGTTATAATTTAAAACCACATATAACAGGGTCGGTGTATATAAAGTGTACAAACCAACAAAAACAGCTTAGAGTGATATCCCAACACCTATGCAATGAATTGCACCCAGTGAGCCGCCATTTTTCATTGCTCACCAAGCCGTACACCGTACACCGTACACCGGCCGTGGCCCAGGTGGAGCAAATTCCAGATGTCCCAGATCCGGAAAGCCGACGTCATCGAGCTGAAAAGACAAGCAAGGCCTGTGGCATGTGGGACCTGCGGGGACGGCGGGGACCTTGACCTGGCCGATTCCGAACTAGGATGGTCATCAATAACAATGGCTTAAAGGAATGGAAATCAATAAAGCCAGGGCCAGGTCAATGAATATTGATGACCATCCTTAATCTTGACCTGGCTTAAAGGATGGTCATCAATCCATTCACAGGGATTTATATAACCATTGGAAGGATTCCCATTATGGGATGGACCAGCAGAACAAGAACTGAATCCGGTGCAACATCGGATTTTTTTTTCTGGTTCCATTGTTCCGAAAAAAAATCGATTCTGGTGCTTTGGAACATGAATTTGGAAAAAATTCTCCAATAGTTGGGATGATGATCCAATCTGACGAAGTCCATCATTTTTCAGAGAGGTAGGTTCTTCCACCTTTTTTGAGATGGTTTCTTCAGAAAAACGCCAGAAAAAGCCGCATGAATTAGCAGATTTTCCATGATGTTCCATGATTTACCATTAGGATGATCATCATGGGTACCCCAGTCATCCCTTGACGTTTGAACAGTATTGAAACCATTGAGATCTTGGGGATCAGCGACACTAAAAGGGACCCTCATTTTGTAATATGTTACATTGCACTGGTCGTGTATTATATTGATATATTATATTGATATCTTGTACTATATTTTAGATTTTAGCATGTTAGAAAAACATGTCATGCTAGTTTACATAATGAATACACACAAGGATTACAAAACGAAAACAAGGATTTGTCGTTTGTCGTTTGTTGTTGTTGCTGCTGCTGTTGCTCCTCATGCTGAATTTCCTGGCGTCGCTGTATTTGGTCGGGACGTAATAAACTCGAAGTTTGCTGCCCACTGTGCGGTAGGTTTCCTTGTGCTTCACCCCGCAAAAGTATATATATCTGGATAAATTATAACGACCTCACTGCGACCTCACTATAATCATAGTTAGTAGGGGAAATGATCCCCAAATGGCCTCAATTCAGGTTGGTGAAATATAATAATTTACCCATATATATAATATACATGGAACTGTGCTTAGCCTCTCTTGAATGCAATGTTTACATGTGATATGTTGCCGGTTTTGGTATTGGACAAGCTGTGCCAGAATTTTTGTTTAAGTCAATGCCCTCCGCTACGACATACTTGCACCTGTGTTTAATATTCCTCTCGATACGGGAACAGAAAACACCCGGGACATTTCATTGCGGCCGGGTGCAAAAAGACCCTCCCGGGTACCGAAAACACCACTGGACGCAAAAAAAAAACACTATTCTGGTAGCATTCAAAGCGATTCGGGAACAGAAACACCTAGGCCTTTGGGACTTTGGGGTTCCCAGAAACACCGACGGGAACGTCCCAAAAACACCATTCCAGGGAACAAAATCAGAACGGAGCCCATATGATCCCTAAGACCAGTACGTATACCCTCTGGTTATGACTAACATAGCCATGGAAAATGGCCCATTTGTAGATGGTTTACCTATTATAAATGGTGATTTTCCATGGCTACGTTAAATAACCAGATGGTATTTTTCAATGATTGGAAAACACAGTATATCGTATCCTGCTAACCATTGACCATTGATACAAGTTTTGTTTGTTCGCAATGATTATAATCCATTTCCTACCTGTCATGAAATTCATTTCAAGACCATGTCCAAAGGAAACCCAAATGTACGTATATATGCATATATACATACACATAAATATACATATATTCTATATACATACATACATATATATATATATATATATATACACAAATGATTATATATATACTGTATAATACTGTATATATATATTATTTACACAAATGGTTAAAACATATTAGAGTTTCAATCTCAGTTTACCACCGAAGGAACCGAACTGGTTGTACCAGTCATATCTCGGGGACAGGAGAACTGGCCCTCGGAGTCAGCGTGCAGCACCTCCACCTCAGCTTCTCCTGGAGCACAGAACCCCCAGAGCAGCTGAGGAGAATTTTTTCAAAATCCTGCAGGATGGTTCTATATCATAACATTCATGATGGTTAATGATGGTTAATACTGGTTAATGATGGTTAATCATGGTTAACAATGGTTAATAATGCTTAATAATCACTGGTTGGTGCTTTGGAACATGTTTTTTATCTTTAATTCCATATATTGGGAATAATGATCCCAACTGACTTTCATATTTTTCAGAGGGATTGAAACCACCAACCAGTAATCAATGATTGATAGTGATTGATAATGGTGATTAATGATTTTATAATATAACTATGAAGCTCTGTTAATCATCAATAAATGCTAGTCACTGTGATTGATAATGACTTAGTGGTGATTAAATATTTAATGGTGATTAATTATTAAGAGTTATTAATAATATTAATAGATTATAATAGTTGGTTTTTGCTATTATAACATTCTCCAACGATAATGACTTAATGATGATTCATACTGTAGTGATTTAGCGACGCAATGGTGATTCCATTTAATGGTCATTTGATGGTAGTTGAATAGTGATTAATACTGATTTGTGTGATGGAACATCACCGTTTCTTAAAAAAAAATATTAGGTATATCATCAATGAATGGGCCATTTTCATAAATCATGTAAATAAATATATATATATATTTAAAGGCTTACGCCTGACAGCTGAGCGCCGGCCGAGCAACGACTTTTGGCTTATGGTGTGGGAAGATTGGGCCGAGATTCTCCGCGCAAACCCAGGGAGGCCGACGCCAAAGGACGGGAAGCTACGCAAGGTGTATTATGCAACGGGTGGTTGGCAATGAAAAATAGATCATTTGACATAACTCACTGATATGCAGATGACTAGTTGTAACTATTATTGTCAAGAGCCACCAATGCTAGTAATACTCGGCGGCTACCTGGCCTTTTGTCAGTTCGTAACCATGTGACAATGTACTGTTAAGGGCATGTTATTTTGACATTTCGGACCCATGCTGGTCAAAATTACCAACTATCTGAGCATCAACAGTTTAATATGAAGTTGCACATCATCAGGTAATGATCGTTAGGATGTTGCTCGCATTACTTGGCCGGAGCTACGTAGTTTTACTGTAAGTTCATGAACGGAGGAATGACCAACCATCATCAAAAATAACCTGTCTCAACCATCATTACCCGCACTTTGTTCAATCACCAGTAAGCCGCCAGTTTTTGGCCAGATACTTGACATGATCCAACAATTTCCAAATATTCCCAAATATGGCCATTTCGGTGGGAACCAATTATGGTTCCCCAGTGCCCTGACTGCACAACAATAAGTTTCTCACAGGGTGCATACCCATGAAATGGCAATGGTCGAACCTCTTTAAATGGATTGAGGTTGTCCCATCTATGGTAAAGATCCTGATACTGGTTTTTGTAAACCTCATAAGCCAGTGAACGAGCAACTCGTGACTCCGTGACATCATGACAAGTCTTGCTCACGGCACACATGTAGCACGAATTGTGTCCAAAAAATGCACCACACACCATTGACTTCGTTCCTTTCAAAGCACCAGCCAGAGAACAGGCACCAATCCCTGACGTCGGGATTATTTTCCCACTTCCAACTGATCTGAAAATCGAATTTAGCAGTTGATCCATAGTGAATATTGACCTACAACAGATTCTTTCATGCTCATGTCGGTCAAGAATCGAACAGGTGGGCGCGCCACAACAAGCAAACACACATGCAAGCGGCTGCCGTGAAAAGAAAACATGTACGCAACTGATGTACGATATAAAGCTATAACCTAACACCAGTAAAGACAAGTGATGCAAGTTCCTAGCCATGCCCAGTGATCATTCAGCCATTCACCCATGCAGCTCACCATCCGCACAACTATTCAAAGATCACATGCATATAAGGTGCAACATACAGTCTGGGGATTTGTTGTTTTGATGTTTAACATGCACACATGAACCATGGGGTCGGGATCACCGGCCAGTTGATATGCTGGCGCGAGAAGTTAAGGTCGGAGTGAGTAGAGACTGTCTGACGGCTTACTTAACCACCAATTACCAATCATGACTCGACCATTGACCAGTGAGTAGTCAGAACTAATGACTGTTGACTCTGCCAGGTACTGAAGACCGAAACTTCGGGCCTGAAGGTCCAAACAGCGGACCTGAAGGTCGAAACCGCGGACCTCAAAAGAGGCATGTACCAGGCATTGACGGCGCATATTTCCCGAATTCCTTCAGGCGTTTTTGTTTCCCATCAAGGTTTATCACCTATGTCGTGGCAAGGACCCTATCACTCATTTGCTCGCATGCTAGATCAAGTATCCGGTTTCTGTTGCTTGCCAGTCGGTGGCACGTGCGCCAGATTCACGATAGACTATGCTCCTTGGAGCGGAAACGGAAGAAGGTCGACGAGTTGGAAGCGCGCGTCCTGGAGATGGAAGAGCTTGAAAGTCTTGAGCCCAGACTACAAAGAGAACAGCCGGGTTTTCATTTAAGCAGATTTCATGTGCAAGTTACAATCAAATATGACTAAAATGACATTCTGCAATGGCACCCGGCATGGGTAAAACGGTAAAACGTGCTGTATTTCACATACATGCTGTATACACAAGCCTGCACTTTGCGCATGTCTCAAGTTCTGCAGCTCCAGCGAGCGGTATAATTCGTGAAACCCAAACATATGTAATTAACAGAAAAACCGAAAACAGAACACAGAAAGGCGGTTTTCCTGTTAATCAGATGTTCATCTGTTTGATTTTTTTCTGTCAGGGAACCCGAAACCTTATACTCCATTATACAAGCTGACATGGAGCCTCTGGGTAGGTTTAAGGTTCCCTATAGGTAGATTGTCCATGCGGCCGCAAAGGACAGAAGCGCTTTTCCGTCGGTCCGGGCTCTCAGCATGAACCAATGCAGTGAGAAGGGGTGTTGGTATACCGATTGGTACAATGATGGATCAGATATTGATCAGATCCGCCTAGGTAGCACGACTTGTACTACGATCCCGATCTCAGACGACGAAGAGGATGGCCAGAGACCCAGCTTCGGTGTTTTCACTTGGAGTGCCCCCGTGGTCTCATGAACTTACAAGTCTTGAACCCGGTTGCACCCGGAGGGGGCACCAGACTTCCCATCCAGCCTGATCCAACCGAGTAGCAGTAGTAGCAGTGTGGTGTGGGCTGATGTGGCAGATCTGATCAGGTATTTTGTGAATGGCAGCAGCAGTGCGCGCCTGGTCGGCCAGGGCTTGGGGCTGTCGTCTCGCCCACGGGCGAAAATAAAAATAAGCAAACACACAGAAACCAGATGAATCCTGGGCGAAGTTGGGTGAAATTGTTAGATGAAGTTGGGTCAAGTGGGGTGAAGTTTTCGTGTTTTGGGCATTTCCGAGGACGTCAGGCTTTCGGATCATTGGCGCTTTTAAATCATCATTGCTCATTTTTCCATTGTCTCCGCTGCGGTTAACCAAGTTAAGAACTACAGTTTATCTAATAACGTCAGTGCTTATGTAGATCATCGCCATATCTTGGGCCAAACACCTTAGGCTGTCCAGAAGGGACCAGCTCCAAGCCCGACCCTCCACCTTCCACCTCCTGGTGTGCTTGTCTATGAAGTAGTGGCCCACCTCCACCGGCCGCAGACACCACCTCCAGTCCAATCCTTCCATCACGAGATCCTGGTACTGCAGGTAGTCCTTGTTTCCCCCTCTCATCAGAGGACGGCGTTGCCATAGAGCTGCTGTCACCAGTTACCGTTGCCTCAGCACCGGTCGGGTCAGCCTGCGTTGGGCTCATAACCCTTGCCAGCGCGGTTACCGCACTAGGCACCCTGTAAGCAGCACGTCTCAGCCTTTTTTCCCTGAGGCCAAGAAGTCTTGAGCCAAACAGTCCCGACAATCGCACAACTGATGGCCCCTGCTGTTTTTTTTGTTTTTCAAACCCTTAGATTAGGAGCTTTTCAGCTCAGTGTTGGGGTGAACCTTTTGGGACTTTACAGCCCTGTACATCCTCCACCCTATACACTATATGAAGTTTAAATTGATCACACGTGGTTATAGTTGTCATGATTGTGGTGTTGGTGTTGGTGTTGGAACTCTTATTCCCTGGCGCGCTCCCCCTTGCGCCTGCCGGGGTCGGCGGGAACAGTGTTTAGTCTATCATGAATTGTTTGGAATAAAAACAGTCGAACATGACATTGTAATATGTTTTTAGATAATTAGGCGTACCATGGAGAAATACCTATCAGTAGTTGTAGCTAAAGTAGTATATCGTTTTTTCCCTATCGTGGGGATTAATCCCGTCCCTTGTTTGGTCCTGAAACAGCCTACGCAAACCGTTGATGTGGGGGATGAAACTACCCCAAGTATACATTTGGGGCGATACCATGCGGGTGTTTAATACTATAGGGGGATGGGAATATACTTAAATATAACTTGAGCTTACAGTAGTTATAACTGTAGTTAGATGGGTCATTAACCAACAAACAATATATAGGATTCTACCTGAAAAAGGTTTCTTCACCTGACCGGGAGTTTGGGGTGATGTAAAATGATGTATGCACATATTGGGACCTTGAAATATCGTGATCCTGTACTTGCTAGAAAACCTTTACAGGAAGATTTTGGGCTTATGTCCAGTAAGAAATCAATGAATAACACACGTGGATGAACAATAGACTTCCTCGCCTGAGAATTTCGCTCTTGCGGGCACATAATCACCGTGTATTTGCCAAAACTAAGGGGTTGGTCACCAAACATGGGGAGTTGCTGCACATTCGGATGTAACCATCAAAAATGCCAAGTCGGGCACTGAAGGTGGAGATATGACAAGGAAACACTGGGAGATAGTAGCACGTAATTGACCAACCTACCGCAGATGCTCTTGTTATAGATGACGTGATATGAGTTTGGTCCATTGGTATTGACAAAAATAATAGCGATGATAATATGATTGTCATGCTTGTGACAGTTGGACAGCTTTTGCAGATCAGCGAGCTGGGTCTTTTGCCGTCTCTGT